AGTAGTGCCCAGGCTCTGAATTCAAGCCCCAGGACCAGCACTAAAAATAAAATAAAATAGGGGCTGGGAAGTTGGCTCAGTGGTAGAGTGCTTGCCTTGCATGCCTGAGGCCCTGGGTTCGATTCCTCAGCACCACATAAGCAAAAAGAAAAAAGCCGGAAGTGGCACTGTGGCTTAAGTGGTAGGGCACTAGCCTTCAGCTGAAGAGCTGAGGGACAGCGCTCAGGCCCAGAGTTCAGGCCCCACAACAGGACCAAAAAAAAAATTATGCACATCTAAGCTGGGTACTGGTGGTTCACGCTTGTAATCATAGCTACTAAGGAGGCTGTGATCTGAGGATGACCATTCAAAGCCAGCTGGGCAGGAAAGTCCATGAGAATCTTATCTCCAATTAACCACCTAAAAACCAGAAGTAGAGCTGTGGCTCAAAGTGGTAGAGCACTAGCTTTGAACAAAGGAGCTCAGGGACAGTGCCCAGGCCCTGAGTTCAAGCCCCAGGACTGACAAAAAAAAAGCACATCTAGAGGCTAGTCTTTACATAAGTGCTAGCATATTTGTTAAGAACTTACTTTGTTCGATCATTCTTCTGCTCATGTCTAACATCTTCAGGGATTTTTGCCCTTCTGATCCATGTCCGTTCAGCACCAAGACCTCAAGATGAGAGACAATTAGAATGCTTCAGTTTTCATGACTAATTACTTAATATATTTTACAGAATGATAATTTCCTTTTTTCCTTTCTGTCTGAAAATACAGATATGAAAACTTCCATTGACATGATCAATCAGTCAAAGAAAAAGTCGTGGAAAATCCCGATGACACCTGACCGGTTCCTCTTGACTGTCAATGCTCTGCAAAAAGCCCACAATTCTGAGGAATTTGCTTATCCTCACAGGCCCCAAATCCAAACCATTGATGACTTGCAATCTTCAATTTCATATCCAAGGAAGGTCCTAAATTTCAAAGGAAAATCAATTCAACATGCAGTTGATAAGTTGAAGTCAAGCAATCCTTTTCTAGATGTGAAACAAACCAATATACCCCTTAAAATCCAGAAACTGCAGCCCAACTTGAAAAACTCTTTGCACAGTCCCAGTGTTCAGTCTACCATACCCCAGCCCATGATTATCTCCAGGTTCTATGGCAGCTTGGGTAAAGAACCATTGACGAGTTCAATCGAAGGGGCAGTCCGTAGTATAGGCCCTCTGACCAGCATGCAGGTCATTAAATCCAACCGAATACTAGTTCCACAAATAAGTACTAGCACCCTGCCTCTAAAGAAAGAACGGCCTCGCTTCTACACAAACCTAGATCCTCTTCGCACAAACACGGAATTCATGCTGATGACTGTGAAAGAAGAGAAAGAGTATGAGGAAGCCAAGATAAAGGCGTTTAAGGACAGTCAGTCGACTAAAGTTGTAGATCCAGGAAAAAAGAGCAAAGCTGCATGGATCTTGAAGACTAAAGGTCTACCTATTGATGACTTCATGAAGCAAGGGAAAATAGCAGCCCCTGAACTTGGAGAAAACGTATTTATCTAAACTAGCCTTGGGAAATTACCATGTCTTACAAAAAAAAATGTGTTAGTGTTTGGTCTCTCTCTCTCTCTCTCTTTCTCTCTCTCTCTCTCTTTGACAGTTCCTTGGTTATTAACATAGAAATTCCTAATCATTTTCCCATGAACCTAAAAAAAATTATTAAAGGAAGAAAACAGAAGGAGACAGGAAGAAATTGGCACCTGTATCCTCATAGGTCTCATTCAGGTAAGTCCAATTTCATTGATGAGGGAGTGAGAAGGTGATTATTGGAAATTAGATGTTGCCTTTCATCAATACCAGCAAGGTAATCCATTGGTATTTCCTGTTATTTTTGCATAGAAGTCTATGGTTTGGGTAATGTTCTAAAAGTAGGAAGGCCTCAACAGGTTGACCTATTGTATTTTGTGAGCTTTGCCTTGTCAAAACTAACTCCTTTGGAAGAGAATAAAGCATATTCATCCTCTCTACAAAGAAGGCCACTAATACCTAGTGTACAAAAGTTTACTTAAATTCTTGAAGAGCAGTGTTAGGGACCCAGCAGGTAACTTATTAGAGAGTAGCCAACCACAGATTGGAGAGCTCAAGCCACATACTAAAGGCATATCTCCTACTCAGAGGCTCAGTTAACCCAGAAAAAAAGCTAACTACAGGTGCTGGTGGTCCATACCTATAATCCTACCTACCAAGGAGGCTGAGATCTGAGGACTGAAGTTTGAAGACAGCTGAACAGGAAAGCTTATGAAACTTTTTTTTTTCTGGATGTGGGGCCTGAACTGTGGGCCTGGCGCTGTCCCTCAGCTCTTCAGCTCAAGGCTAGAGCTCTACCACTTGAGCCATAGCGCCACTTCCAGCTTTTTCTGCTTATGTGGTGCTGAGGAATCGAACCCAGGGCCTCAGGCATGCAAGGCAAGCACTCTGCCACTGAGCCACCTTCCCAGCCTGAAACTCCAATGACCAGCAAAAAGCCAGAGCTATGGCTCAAGTGGCAGAGCACCAGCCTTGAGCAAAAAGGTAAGGGATAGTGGCCAGGCACTGAATGGAAACATACATACATAGGCCAGACCCTGGCATGGCAGTACACATTTTTGATCCTACACTTCACTTGAGAGGCTAAAGTAAGGGGATAAGAGAATTGAAAGTTGAAGGCCAACCTGGATTACATGGTGAGCCTGAGGCCAGTCTGGGCTATTTTTAAACTCTATTACTGAAAAAGCCAAAAGTCTGAAATTCAGGCCTTTTTTTTTATCAAGTGCTCTAAAAATTTAAAGGATGGCAATGAATACAAATTTAATGCATATAAAAGGTTTTTTAAAATTCCCACAACTCTATAAAACCCTGCAACACTGAGTAGGACACCAAAAAATAGTTCAGCTGTCTACTTTCAAGCACAAACATGCAATTGCCTTACCAAGCTTTCTTTCTTTGGGTAGTTGTATGCTTGTTTGTTTCTTCACTATCTGAAATAGTGCTATAAAATCTGTGTTCTAATTAAAAGAGTCCTCCAGTTAAGGAAATGTGAGAAAACACATTATTTCACTCCAACAGCAGTCAGACTTAGGTTGAACAGATAGAATATTGCTATTATCACAATTCCAAAGATTGAAGTCCCTGAATTTGAGGTTCAGACATGATCATACCATTAGCAACTGGATTTTACAGCAATAAAGACAACTCCCATTTACTAAATATCTTGCAAAAAATAGCATCATTATCCTCACTTTGGAATCAAGGAGTATATCATGGTGAATATAATTGGTTAAAAAAAAAGACAGGGCTGAAACCTAGACACTCTAATGCTGGATTAGCCAGTATCAATTTTTATTCTTTCGTTTCCTGGAGTGTCAGGTTATTTCCCTCCCAAAAGAATGATCTCCATTGTTTATGCTGGACTGCTCTTGCCTTATTTGTATTAACTTTCTACCCCATCCCAAGAGCACATTAAAGAAATGTGAATTTTTGAGGGGGTTCATCAGTACTTATTTTTTAAATTATCTTTAGTTGTATGGAAGGGTTTCATTTCAATGTATCAATTTATAAGAACAATGCATCTTGATCAATATCACCCCTCCCATCATTCTCTTGATCTCTCCAATTCCATCTATCTCTTTAAGTTACCTGATTAAGAAATTAAATCTAGCCGGGCGCTGGTGGCTCACACCTGTAATCCTAGCTACTCAGGAGGCTGAGATCTGAAGATCATGGTTCAAAGCCAGCCCGGGCATGAGACTCCTATCTCCAATAAGGCACTAGAAAACCAGAAGTGGTACTGTGGCTCAAGTGGTAGAGTGCTTGGCTTAAGCTGAAGAGCTCAGGGACAGAGCCCAGGCCCAGAGTTCAAGCCCCAAGACTGGGGCTGGGAAGGTGGCTCAGTGGTAGAGCGCTTGCCTTGCATGCCGGAGGCCCTGGGTTCAATTCCTCAGCACCACATAAGCATAAAGAAAAAAGCCGGAAGTGGTGCTGTGGCTCAAGCGGTAGAGCGCTAGCCTTGAGCTGAAGAGCTGAGGGACAGCGTCCAGGCCCAGAGTTCAGGCCACACGACCGGACCAAAAAAAATCTAGGGGTTAGAGGCATGGTTCAAATGGTAGAGGGCCAGCTAATGAGCGAAAACGTCAGGTGCAGAGTTTGAGTCCCACTCTCAGCCAAAAAATAATAAAAATAAAGCACAAAACGTAATACTGTACAGAGATAAAAATAAAGCACAAAACGTAATACTGTACAGAGATACATGTCATAAAATATAAAAAGTTAAATGATGATGGGCTGGGAATGTGACCTAGTGGTAGAGTGCTTGCCTAGCATGTGTGAAGCCCTGAGTTCAATTCCTCAGTACCACAGAAGCAGAAAAAGCCAGAAGTGTCACTGTGGCTCAAGTGATAGAGCGCTAGCCTTGAGCAAAAGAAGCTCAGGGACAGAGCCCAGGCCCAGAGTTCAAACCCCAGGACTGGCAAAAGAAAACAAAAGGAAAAGGATGGACTCAAGCCCCATCTCTTGCACTCAGAACGACCATGCTAGAGGAATGAATGACACTCATTCAACACAGTTGTTCATGCCTTCTCTGGGAACAGAGTTCTTTTCCTATAGATTCTGCACTCCTCCGCCCCGTCCCGCCCCGCCCTCGGCCCCGCCCTCGCCCCGCCCTCGCCCCCGGAAGGCCCCGCGCACTATTTGCCTCGCCCCGGAACCACCTCGCGGCTGCTCGTCTAGCTCTGTGGCGTTGTTCCTGCTGCTGCGCTGCTCGGAGCGGAAGTGTAGCGAGGAAGCAGGGCCGGGCTGGTGCTTGTAGGTAGACCCTTCCCGACCAGTGGTGACGAGGCTGCGTCAGTTGCACACCGGACTCGGCGGCGGCTGCGCTGACGTGGCTCCCGGAAGTGAGGCTGGCGCCGGGCCGCCATGTTGTCGCAGGTGAGGGGCACTTGGGCGTCGGGAGTGGGCAGCGGCGCTGAGGGGACCGGCCTGATAGGGTCGTGGGGCGTCCGGGAGCCCGCTGTGTCTGTGTCCCCGCTCGCCGCCTGAGCTCGAGGCGGAGTGGGGTGGACTAGCGGGCGTGGAGGGACGAGCAGTTGTTCCGGGCGGGCCCCCAGGGCTCAGGTAGCAGGATGACTCCGGTGGCCCCGAGCGGTGGAAGCTCGGGAGCTAGAGCCGGCCGGCCCCGTGCCGCACTGCAGAAAAGCTCGGGTGTGCGGTCGGGGTCCCCCTCTCCCCAGCCCTTGGCGCGGGTCGGGTCGGGGTGGAGAGCCTGCGGCCCTGGCTTGGAAGGCGTGGCCCACCCTCAGGGTTAGAAACGTTGCCGGAGCCTTGCGTTCGAGTTTCTGTCCCCAAACTTAACACGGGAGGGTCGTTGTCACGAATTACGGGAGCCGGGCACTGGTGGCTCACGCCTGTCATCCTAGCTACTCAGGAGGCTGAGCTCTGAGAATCATGGTTCGAAGCCAGGCTGGGCAGGAAAGTCCGAGAGATTTTTTTTTTTCCTTCTCTCTCTCTCTCTCACATTAAACACCCAAAGAAGCCGCAAGTGAAGTTGTGGCTCAGATGGTAGAATGTGGTAGAATGTGGCCCAATGGTAGCATGCTAGCCCTGAGCGAAAAGCCCAGGGACAGCGCTGCCAGGCCCCGAGTTCAAGCCCCAGGACCTACCCATACATATATATATATAGCACAGGCTTTCTTCCTTTGTAAAAGATATTTACCCTTGATGGTGTATTTTTTTTCTTTTTTGCTTATGTGGTGCTGAGGAATCGAACCCAGGGCCTCATGCATGCAAGGCAAGCGCTCTACCACTGAGCCACCTTCCCAGCCTTGATGGTGTATTTTTGCTTATATTACCGTAAATAATATCTTTCCCCTACATCATGTTATTCCGCAAACACATTAGTATGATTAAGCCACTGTTTTAGGTTCAGGAGTAGGGCTGGAGAGTACAGACACGTTTCTTGCCTTCCATTGGGCAGTTGGGGGAAGAACACCTGAGCAGGTGCAAAGGGAATGGGGAGGATACACGTGAGTTATATAACTAAAAGAATCTGATAGGTGAATTAACAAGTACCTAAGATTGGAGTGATTAGGATATAGCCTCAGAAAAGACCACCAGTAAGGAGGTGATCTGAATAGAGAAAACCCACTGGTGGTTTAAATTCATCTCTGAATGTTCACCTGGGCTGAATGGGGCTGGAGGAACACACAACATTGTCATGGTTGCTACTTTCTAAGTTTGTGATCACAAACTTCATTTCTATAGTCCCCATACACCTTGTTAGGCCACTAGTATATTAAAACTTGTCAAACCTGCAACATTTTCTTCCCTTGCCTCTGTCAGCCAGGTGGAAGCTATCAGAAAGGAATTTCCATGCCACCTGCCAACCTGTCTGTATTTTTGCTCATAGTGAACCATATATTCTTTAATTATAATTATTCTTGTCACCCCCTCCTATGTTAGCTTCCATTCCTTGCCTACAGGAAAGCATTGAGCCATTTTCCTTTTGAAACTCTTCTTTACATCAGCATGTAAAGATACTTTAATTTTTCTGTCTTAAAAAAAAAAACTGTGATGGGAAGGGGAAACAGGAGGAGGCTACAATGCTTGATAAGAAATGTACTCATTACCTTGCCCCTCTGTACAGTATTTTCACAATAAAAATAAATTTAAAAAAAGAAAAAAAAACTGTGCCTCATGCCCTTTTAGCAGTCACCATCTAATTTTTGTTTCTTTTTAAAGACTTGCCCATAGTTGGTCTTGAGTCTTCTCTCATCAGTTCTGGTCAACATTTCTCCCTCTCTCCTTGCTTCTCTGAAACTCCTTTTATTGAAGCCACTGGTAACTTGCTAAAAATACAAATGTCTTTTCAGTTTGCATCTTACATGAGCCATATTTGACACAATGGGCTCCCTCTCTGGGAAACACTTCATAGGCTTCTAGGATACCATTCTGTTCTGCTACCCTCCACTCCCCAGATCATCCTCTAGTTCCCACTGTTTATTCCTTTTCACCTTTCTAATCTAAATATTTTGGAGTGCCCAGAGTCTGTCTTTGCCATCTTTATCTTGTTACCTACTTGGGATAAAAACTTTGGAATCTTTTGACTTTCTTACCTCCACATTTAATCTTGTCACATCTACTTGAAAAGATGCAAAATCTCTACTTTCATCATTTCTACTGCATTTACCCTGGACCAACCCTTTGTATCAGAGTAGTCTCCTAACTTGGTGCCTTTGTTTCTCCTCCCTGTCCTCTTTACCTTCTAGATTCTTTTCTTCTTCTTCTTCTTTTTTTTTTTTTTTTTGTTGTTGGTCATGGGGTTTGAACTCTGGGTCTGGGCACTGTCCCTCAGCTCTTCAGCTTAAGGCTAGTGTTCTACCACTTGAGCCACAGTGCCACTGGCTTTTTCTGCTTATATGATGCTGAGGAATCAAACCCAGGGCCTCATACATAGGAGGCAAACCCTCTACCACTGAACCACCTTCCTAGCCCATCTAGATTCTTTTTTTTTTTTTTTCCCAAGTTGTGGGGCCTGAACTCTGGGCCTGGGAGCTGTCCCTCAACTCTTTAGCTCAAAGCTAGGGCTCCACCACTTTCTGCTTGGTGCTGAGGAATTGAACCCAGGGCCTCATGCATGTGAGGCGAGCACTCTACCACTGAGCCACCTTCCAAGCCCCTCCCCCCATCTGGATTCTTAATATAGTAGCCAGAATTTTCTTGATTACCCCTCTCAATTTTTTGAGTTCTTTTTAATTAAAAATTTTAATTATTATACAGGTAACATACAGAGGGGTTACATTTACATAAGTCATTTCATTTTAGACAGTGTTACCCCTTTCCTTGCTTCTTCCAGTTTTTCCCTCCCATCCCCACCCACAAATTGTATATTAATTTTCAATATAGTGTTCAGTGAATACCGTTGCTGCATTTATTCACCCTTGTTAGACTTCTTCTGCAAGCATCTTCATATAGTCAAACCAAACTTTTGACTTTGTCCAAAAGCTTTTGTGCCTATAAGCTTCATAAAAATATTTGTATTTTTAAAACTTGGTTTTCAATAGGCGCTGGTAGCTTATGCCTGTAATCCTAGTTACTTTGAAGGCTGATATCTGAGGATTGAGGTTTGAAGCCAACTCAAGTAGGAAAGTCCATGAGACTTTATCTCCAATTAAGCACCAAAAAGCTGGCAGTAGAGGGGCTGGGAATGTGGCACAGTGGTAGAGTGCTTGGCCCAGCATGCAGGAAGCCCTAGGTTTGAATATTCAGTACCACATACACAGAAAAAGCCAGAAGTGGCACTGTGGCTCAAGTGGTAGAGCGCTAGCCTTGAGCACAAAGAGGCTCAGGGACAGTGCCCAGTCCCTGAATTCAAGCCCAGGACTGGCAAAACAAAAAAAAACAAACAAAAAAAACTGGAAGTGGAGCTGTGCCTTAAGTGATAGAGCACTAGCTTTGAGCACAAAAACTCAAGAGGCAGCACCTAGGTCCTGAGGTCAAGCCTAGGACCAACACCCAAAAAAGTTTTTCATCTGTGCCTCTTATGCTAGTGCCTAGAACTTAGTAGCACTCAATATTTACTGGGCCTATGAGAAGAGGAATTTAGTTTTCCAATGAGCAAAGTAAGAAGGAAGAATGGTATTGGTGGACTGAACCATGAGCATAAAAGGATTCATTGCGGCACAAATTTGACAAGTTTAAGGAACTAATAATAACACCAGTGTAATAGCCTTATTTTTTTATTTTTTATTTATTTTATTGTTGGTCATGGGACCTGAACTCTGGGCTTGGGCACTGTCCCTCAGCTCTTCAGTTCAAGGCTAGCACTCTACCACTTGAGCTACAATGCCACTTCCAGCTTTTTCTATGTATGTGGTGCTGAGGAATCAAACCCAGGGCCTCATGTATGCAAGGCAAGAACTCTACCACTGAGCCACCTTCCCACTGAGCCACCTTCCCAGCCCCAAACACATTCAAATTTTCTCTGGCCTGTTTCCCTCTTTAAAATATATCATTGAGCCCATGGGCTACCAGTGTGATAATATCCCTGGGCCCTTCAAAATCTTTCCATCTGAAGACCCTTAATTACTTCTGCAAAGCCTTTTTTTCTTGCCCCATAAATTAACATATTCTCAGATTGAAGGGTGGCTGTATTTTTGGCAAAAATAAGAGGAGCCATTCACTCTATACTAGTAGGTAAGTGGGTTGTAGCTTTAGATAAGCTGCTGGAGGCTGACTAGGGCCAGATCATGATACTTCCTCATAAGGAATCTGTTTTTTAGAATGCTGTGAATTTTAAGTAGGAAAATACTATCTGCTGGATGAAGAATTGGACCACTCGGGTCAAGGACAGTTTTTATTACATAGAATCATACAGTGGATCTCAACTTTGCATGCTTTGATCATCTGGGAAGCTTTAAACATACAGCTGGGGCTATAAATCAGTGATATATCACTTGCCTAGTGTGTGTGAGGTCTGGGGTTTGAGTTAAAATAATAAATTACTAATAAATCCAAATTTCTGATGGAGAGCAATTACATTCAAACTTGATTTTTTATTGTTTTGTTTTTTAAGCATTTCAGTAGTTAAAAGTTAGGAGCCACTGACCTTATTATGTGGACAGCTTGGCTGTTCTTAGGTGTACTTTGTTTTTTTTCTTAGGTGTACTTTGTATATTCCCCACCTATGCTTTTGAAAATATACGTAGTAAGGGACTGGGGTAAGTAGGAGGCCAATGTAGTGTGTCAGAGAAGCCTGGCTGATAAACTTACAGGAAGCTTTTCTGGAACCCTCTCATGGAAAATGATTCTCTTCTTGCCCTGTGTTTCCATGTACACCTAAGTTTCTCCTGGCTCACTATGTATTGTATTCCAGGAAATGGCTTCCTTTGTTTATTCTCTCACATTCAACAAATTCTGTGCCACTTGACTGGGTGTTTTGCTAATCACTTCTTATAGTGCAGGCAGTCCTACAATAATGGAAATGGAGATTGGTCTGAGTTCTTTGAGAACAAAGGCATTTTAGGGAAAATCTCAGCTGTTTTAAGTTGAAACATTACGCTAGGTAGGGAGCCTGGAAGGGAATAGCCAGCTGAAGAGAAAATACAAAAGGCAGGAAGGTAAGAGAGACCATTAGTAACAACACTGCTGCAGTGCTCACCTGGAGGGAATGTTAGAGGTAAGTAGGGAATCAGAACATGTGAAATGTGCTCTGTATGATCCTGTATGTGCAGGAGCACTACTATAATTTTTGAGCAAGGGAGTGACATGGTACCATTTCCATAGTGGGACTATTACGGTAGGCAATGTGCAGGAAAGGCTGGAGTAGAATGGGGTGAAACCCATGTAAAAGGCAAGGAGGCTGGTAAGTGGCAACTAGGTAGAGCACAATGATCAGGGTAGATGTGGTTGAGATGAAGGGAATTATAATGGGTTATTTTGAGCCAACCGTTAGAAGCCTAGAGGATGGAATACTATGGCAAGATAGGACATTGGGGTGGTGACACAGGGTTTTTAAGTCTCTTGAGCGATGAGATACACTCGATTTTTTTTTTTCTGGTCCTGAGGCTTGAATTTAGTCTGGGTCCTGTCCCTGAGCTTTTGTATTCATGGCTAGTGCTCTACCACTTGTGCTACAGCTCCACTTCTGACTTTTTTGGCAGTTTTAGTGGAGATAAGAGTCTCACAAATTTTTCATGCCCCAGCTGGCTTTAAGCCGGTAACTAAAATTTAAACTGAGTAGCTAGGATTACAGGCCTGAGCCACGGGAGCCCAGCTTGAAAACTTTTTTATTTTGGTCGGTCGTGGGGTTTGAACTCTGGGTTTGGGCGCTGTCCCTGGGCTCTTCAGCTCAAGGTGAGCGCTCTACCACTTGAGCCACAGTACCACTTCCGGTTTTCTAGTGGTTTATTGGATTTTCTTGCCCGGGCTGGCTTTGAACCTCAATCCTCAGATCTCAGCCTCCTGAGTAGATAGGATTACAGGTGTGAGCCACCGGCGCCTAGCTTTGAAAACTTTTATATATGTTTATTAGAAGATCCAGTAGAAAGGTCAAGAAAATGTAATTTTTTTTAAAAAAAGGAACAAGAGAAGACCACGGAGGCTGTTTTGTTTCTTAAGAATTGACATCAAGAAGGTCTGTTCTCAGTGAATGATAGCTGGCAAGGGCAAAATGAGAAACTGCTAGTGTATCTAGCACAAGGGCCCCTGTATCATCTATAATGAAGACAATGGAATCATCAAGGCCTTCAGAAACATCCCTGGAATTACTTTGTTTAATGTCAGCAAACTGAACTTTTTTTTTCTTTTTTTTCCTTTTCTTTCATTTTTATTGTAAAGATGTTGCACAAAGGGGTTACAGTTACATGAGTAAAGCAATGAATACATTACTTGTCCATCATTGTTACCCCTTCAAACTGAGCATTTGAAAACTTGCTCCTGGTGGTCATGTGGTAAGTTTTCTGCATTTGGACAGAAAGTGCTTTCCAGAAGTCGGATGAATTGTATGGCACTGGGCATAAAGATGCTTCCCTCGAGAGTAACTATAACCTTCCTATGCTCAAGATGATGAATACAGACAGAATTTTGAAAAGCTTGGAGATCCAAAGAGCTCTTAGAGCACCACGCAGGAAGATTAATCGAACCTTGAGAATCATGTTGAAACTAAACCCATACTAAAGACCATGCACCAAAACACCATTCTTTGCCAGGCAAGAAATCACAAAATCCAAGTGAAGAAAGCAGCAACATTGACAGCCAAATTAGATGAGTGCCATTAGATGGGAAGGCAGCTGCAGAAAAGAAGGCTGGAGAGAAGAAGCCCACTGTGAGTAAGAAAGGAAAGAAGGCTGCTGATGTTAAAAAGCAGAGCAGATGACATCACCCCATTTGTTAGGAAATGGAAAGACTTGGAAAAAATTAAGTGAAGTAAGCCAGGCTCAAAGAAACATAGGTCCCATGGTTTCCCTTATTTGCAATAACTAGTATATGTCTGGGACAAGCAGAAAAGGTCAAAAGCTATGTACGTATGACCAGATAAGATGATGTTAAGCGGAATGAACCTCAAGATAGGGACACAAGTGGATTTCTTCTTTCTTGCTATTGTTTCTAAAGTATTTATAATGTACCATGTAATTTTTTTGTTGCTTTGTATGTTCCTCCACCACAGTATAACCCCTGCTTTCACTGTATTTGATGTTGGGAAGGGAAAAAACAAAATGTTTAAATAGGGATACAGATTGACCCATTGTAACATGAGATGTACAAGACACTATTTTGAAAAACGAACTTTACAATGTAGGGGGGGAGGGTTGCTGTGGAGGTGGGAGGGAAGGGATGGGAGGGGGAAAACAAAGGAGGAGGCAACAATGCTTGATAGGAAATGTACTCATTACCTTGCTCATGTAACTGTAACCCCTCTGTACAGTATTTTTACAATAAAAAAACTTATTTTAAAAAAAAAGCAGAGCAGCCTTTAGGAGAAAAGACAGCTGCTACCAAGAAACCAGCTGAAAGCAAGCTACCATAGAAGAAAAGAAGCCTGCTGCATAAACTGTTACAATCAGTTTAATTATACAAAGGTCATAGTATGGGACAGCTTAGTTGAGTAAAGACCAGATCAAAGATGCTGTGAGAAAAAAATAAAAAGAACAAGCCCCTGAGGTACTATGATAAGGAATTCTGAAGCTAGGCACTAGTGGCTCATGCCTGTAATCCTAGCTACTCAGGAGGCTGAGATCTAAGGATCATTGTTGGAAGCTAGCTGGGGCAAGAAGGTTCATAAGACTCTTAACTCTAGTTAACCACCAAAAAGCCTGACGAGCTATGGCTCAAGTGGTAGAACACTACCCTTGAGCAAAACACGAGATTAGTGTATAGGTCCTGAGTTCAAGCCTCAGGATCAGCAAGGAAAAAAGGTAAGGAGAATTCTTTTTGGTTTTGCTTGAACAAAAAGAAAAAGCATTGTGAGAAGTCATGGAAACAAGGATGTAACATAGTTTTGAGAAGGAACTAAAAATAATTCAGTTTATCCAGTAGCTTCAGCTTTCTCTGTGATTTGGGAGAAAGCAATAGAGAATAGATGTCAATGTGTAGGAGATCTGTACCAATGTTCTCTCAAGGGCTCAGCTGTCTAGGGGCCAGGGAGAGGAGAGACAATTGATTCTTGAATTACCTTGGGGTATTTGCAGCTGATTGATGTGGGGGTGAGGATTTACAAGTGCCTTTTTCTTAGGATGTAAAGTCCTGGTGGATATGACCATGCTGTAATTTCATATTCTGTTTTGATAAGTATAGCTTTGCATATAATAGGCTTTTTTTTTTTTTTTGCCAGTTCTGGGGCTTGAACTCAGGGCCTGGGCACTGTCCCTGAGCTGCTTTTGCCCAAGGCTAGCACCCTATCACTTGAGCCATAGCACCACTTCAGCTTTTTCTGTTTTATGTGGTACTGACTAAGGAATTGATCTTAGGGCTTCATGCATGGTAGGCAAGTATTTTACCACTAAGCCACATACCCAGCCCATAATAGGCATTTAAATACCATGGGTTTTTTGCTTCATGGACATTTAATTTTCCTATAGGACAGTAATGATGACACTGAAGATGTTTCACTGTTTGACGCAGAAGAGGAGACAGCTAATAGACCAAAAAAATCTAAAGTCAGGTATGGTGATAAGTTATATGAGTTACGTTAGTATTCAGACTGTTTTGTGTATGTTGGTGCCAGTTGATGGGATTGATGTTAGACTTTTCATCACTGAGAAAGCAGCTTAAAGGGCAGAAAAATTATTTTGGTTTATCATTTCAGAAGTTTCAGTTCAGGGTCAATTGGCTTTTGTGTTTGGGGACCTGAAGTGATACAGATGGGAGGGTGTAGAAGAGGAAGGCTTCTCTTACCTCATGGCAGCCAGGAAACAGAAATAAAGAAGAAGGCCAGGGCAAGGCACATCCTGAAAGACATACCTGCAGGGACCAGCTTTCTCCAGCTAGTCCCCCACTTCTGGAAGTTTGCAGCTCCTCCTAAAATAGTGTCACCAGCTGGGGACCTCGGTTTAATACATGAACCTGTGGGGACACTTCATAGTCAAACCATAATGGGTTTTAAGGTAAAGCAGTGAATTATGTGTTACTTTTCTAATTTAGTATGTGGCAAAGCTAACTTCTGATTTTCTTGGAAATAATTTTGATTTTCTTTTTTTTATAGGTTAAGCCTGTACCCATGTATAAACTATGATGTTTAATTTTTATTTATTTTATTTTATTTTTATTGTGAAAATACTGTACAGAGGGGAATAATTTTGATTTTCTTGACATGTAGAATGTTATTTAATATTGTTTTCAAATTAGCAAATCCAACTATTTGTTTTAAATTTAAATTCCTTGCCAGCTATTTTCTAAAATTGTGCTATTTTATGTAATTTATATATGCATTGCATCTAATTTGTTATGCAAATTTTAGAATTTTATATGTGTGAGTATATGGGCTGATCCCAGAGCCTGGGTGCTGTTCCTTATCTTTTTTTGCTCATTGCTAGCACTCTGCCATTTGAGCTACTGCTCCACTTATGGCTTTTTGACAGTTAATTGGAGATAAGAGTCTTGTGGACTTTCCTGACTCTGCTGGCTTTAAACCATAATCACAGATCTCAGCCTTCTGAGTAGCTAGGATTACAGGAGTAAGCCACTGGTGACTAGCTCAGAATTGTCTTGTATAAATGGCATGAAATTACAATACAAGGATATTACTATTATAAATTTATTTCTCTCTAAAGAAATTCCCTTTGTGCAATAAAATTCTGCTTGAACTTTGAAACATTATTTTAAGCAAAAGGTACCATCCACCAAAAACCAAATATTTTGGTTTTATAAAAGAGATTGAAAGTAGTTTAGGACTAGAGACAAAAAGTATTAATTGCTAAGAGCAAGGGATTGGGGGCAAATAAAAAGTAATTGCTATAAGCAGAGTGTCTTTTTGGAATAATAAAAGTTGTAAAATTGAATGTAATGATGGTGGCACAATTATATATATATATATATATATATATATGGTATATATAGATATCTATATATATCATCTCCATTACATTATACTTAGCAGGTGAATTGTATAGTATTTGAATCAAAATGTAATAGGACTGGTAAAACCAAGCTTAAAGAACAGTGGCTAACAGCTGTAACCTCAGCTGCTCAGAAGGTAGAAGTTTGTAGGATTTCAGCTTGAGAACAGCTGAAGCAAAAATGCTAGTAAGACCCTATCTTAACCCTGTAAGCTGAGTATTGTGGCCCACCCAAGTTGGCTTCAACAATAAAAAACAAAAGAAACAGCTTATCTCAAAACTAATTAAAACAAAAAAAGGTAGGGGTATGGCTTAGGTGGTAGAATGATTGCCTAGTGAGCATGAAGCCTATAATACCAGCATTCAGGTGGCTATCAAAATCATGAGCTCAAAGCCAACTTGGGCTACTACTGAGATCTAGTCTCAAGTCAGAAAGAACAAAAACAAAAAGAATTGACTGGGTGCTGATGGCTCATACGTATAATCATAGCACTTGGGAGGCCAAAATCAGGATGGTCGTTTGAAGCCAGCCTAGGCTGACAAATCTGGCTTATTTCTAGTTGACCAGCAAAAAGCCTGAACTAGAGGGACATCTTTAAGTATTCGTACAAAGGAGTTACAGTTCAACAAATCAGTTTATAAGTGCAGTGTATCTTGGTCTATGTGGCCCCGTCTATTGTTCTCCACCATCTTTCCCAACTCTACACATACTACCAAGTTACCCATTTTCACATATCTACATTGAATATAGTGACTAGATTCACCCACCTTTCCTGTCTTCCTGAAGTGATTCCTAAGGGCCTTGAAATTCTTTTGGCATGATTGATAAAGCTAGGTAAAGTTTCTTATTAGATGTTTTGTGAAAGTTTATATTCAGTGAGATGTTAACATCATGTTTACATAGTGTACTTTCTGTGACAACAGGCTCTTCTTAAATAGTAGGGACTTAAGAAACAGAAAAGTAGGCAGTTTTCCCCCCTTATCTCTTGTATTTTGACAAAACTCTTCACAGTTGTACCATGACTAAAACATTTTTCATCTGCCTCTGCTAGTATTTGTAAAATTTAACTGTATTTCTTTTATTGTGTTTTTGTTTTCAGACATCCAGTAGCATCCTTTTTCCATTTGTTCTTTCGAGTCAGTGCAATTGTAGTCTATCTTCTCTGTGAATTCCTCAGCAGCAGCTTTATTGCCTGTATGGTGACAATTATCTTGTTGTTGTCATGTGACTTTTGGGCTGTGAAGGTAGGTTCAATGTTTATTATTTTAAAATTATATTTACTGTGAGTTCAAGTAATGTATAAGCAATTAAAAAATATGAGATCAGTATTTCAGATTGCTATAAAGTTGTCTTTGTTTCTTCAGGATTTCTCTGTGTTAAAGTACATATGATCATATGTAGGTTGTTATACTAGTGAGTTATCTACTTTAAAATTTTTTTTCTTATATTTATTTTTTATATTTTATTTTCTTTAAGTAGTTGTACAAAGGAGTTGCCATTCAACAGATCAGGTTATGAATACAGCAGCTCTTGATAAGTGTCATCCCTTTTAACATTCTTATCCACCCTCCCACCTGTTGACAATGCTTTTTGTCAAGCTACAAAATGTTACTATCAGCCACATGATCTATATATCACTGGATCATTTATCACTGGTCATCAAAGAGTCATTTTTCAGGTGTATTGTGCATTATATCTATGTGAAGCTCCAATGTTCACAAACACTTAAGAACTGTTCATCTACAAAGTACATATTGGTACTCTAGGGCAATCTTTATCAGCTGGGCAATATTGCCTCTACTTCAGGAGATTCTTGTCAATGTATAAAACATTTTGGGCTGGGTCAGGCTTTGCTGGCCCACATCTATAATCCTAGCTACTCAGGAGGCTGAGATCTGAGGATCAAGGTTCAAAGCCAGCCCTGGCAAGAAAGGCCGCGAGACTCTTATCTCCAATAAACCAACAGAAAACCGGAAGTAGCGCTGTGGCTCAAATGGTAGAGTGCTAACCTTGAGATGAAAAGCTGAGGGACAGCACGCAGGCCCAGAGTTGAAGCCCCACAACCAACAAAACAAACATTTTGGGCTCAGTACCAGTGGCTTATATCTGTAATCCTTGCTGCTCAGAAGGCTGAGATTTGAGGATTGTGGTTCAAAGCCCCAGGGCAGGAAAGTCTGTGAGACTCTTCTCTCCACTTATCCACCAGAAAGTTGAAAGTGGAACTAGAGCTCAAGTGATAGAGTGCTAGCCTTGATCAGAAAAGCTCTAGGACCCACATGCAAAAAAAAAGTAATTTTTTTTTTGATGGCCACAACTGAGAGCAGGGGACTTCATCTAGTTTGTACAGGCCAGATATACTGCTCAACATCTTAATATACACATAAGCCCCCACAATAAAGAATTACTGGCACCCATGTCTTACACCTATAATCCTAGCTACTTAGGAGGCTGAGATCTGAGGCTCGTAGTTCAAAGCCAGTCCAGGCAGGAAAGTCCCCATGAGACTTATCTCCAATAAACTACTCAAAAAAGCTAGACGAGGCACTGTGGCTCACATGGCAGAGCAATAGCCTTGAGCACAAATAGGCTCAGAGACAGTGGTCAATCTCAGAGTTCAAGTCCCAGGACTGGCAGAAAAAAAGAATTATGTGGCTAGTCAGTCATACTAAGCTGAGAAACTGCTGTAGGGACTTAGAAAGGATATAAGAAGAGGGAGGGGATCTCAAATTCCCAGGCAAAGATGGTTAGATACATGGACAGATAGATGAATATATAATAAAGTATAATATTAGATACATGGACAGATAGATGAATATATAATAAAGCATAATATGTGTAGACTCTAGTTGGTAGATAGTTGAGTATTCACTGTAAATTTTTACTTTTTTTTTTTTTTGGGTCTGGTCGTGGGGCCTGAACTCTGGGCCTGGGCACTGTCCCTCAGCTCTTCAGCTCAAGGCTAGCGCTGTACCACTGGAGCCACAGCACCACTTCTGGCTTTTTTCTTTTTGCTTATGTGGTGCTGAGGAATCGAACCCAGGGCCTCAGGCATGCAAGGCAAGCGCTCTACCACTGAGCCACCTTCCAAGCCCAAATTTTTACTTTTTTTTGTGTTTGAAATTTTTCATAGTAAATTCAGGAAGAGAAAAAAAATTAAAGGAAAAAAACATCAAAGACAAACTAGAATTTTAGGAGACCAGTAATTGTTACAAGTCTATGAAACTCAGCTATCTAAACATTTTACTTCTTGATTGATTGATTTTCTTGTTATTTGTTTATTTTTGTGCCAGTACTGGTGTTTGAACTCAAGTCTAAGTGTTCTGCTCCTTAGCTTTTTTATTCAAGGCTGGCATATTATCATTTGAAATTGGAGATCAAGGTCTCACAGACTTTCCTGTCTGGGCTGGCTTCCAACCTCAGATTCTCAGACTTTTGTCTCCTCAGTAGCTAAGTTTACAGGTGTAAGCCCCAGTACCTGGTCCCCAACCATTTTTAGATCTTATACACAACAGAGGCAGTCAGCTTGGTGGCAGCCAGTTTCTGCAAAGCCACATAATACTGCTAAGACAGATTGAAGAGAGTTTTTTTTTAAGACTCTTCCTTAACTTTTATTTTAGAGTTGTTTGGATTTTGGAATATCTGCATAGACTTTACTTATTGACCATTTCTAATTTGGAAGTGTGACATTTGGAATGTTCAAACAGCTGAAAATAGTTGAACAGAGAAATTCATATAGCACGTTTTAGATTAGAGATGCTCATCCTGTAATTAAATCCTTTTGGAGTAGAAATTTAATTAAATTATGTTTATTTGTTTATTTTGTGGTGGTACTAACGCTTGAACTTAGGCCTCATGTTCTCCCTTAGCTTTTTTGCTTAAGATTAGTTCTCTACCTCTTGAGCCACACTTCCTTTCCATTTTCAGTTAGTTAATTAGAGATGAGCGTCTCACAGACTTTATAGCTTGGGGTGGTTTTGAACCATGATTCTCTCAGCCTCCTGAGTATAGCTAGTATTACAGGCATGAGCTACCAATACCCAGTATGCAGAGGAGTTTTAAAAGACATAACCAAATGGTATATTTTCTGCTAAGATTGACAACACTGGGCCTGGGAGTTGTCCCTCAGCTCTTCAGCTCAAGATTAGTGCTCTACCACTTTAGCCACAGTGCCACTTCTGGCTTTTTCTGCATATGTGGTGATGAGGAATTGAGACCAGGGCCTCATGCACACGAGGCAAACACTCTACCACTGAGCCA